TAGTAAACCTGGAACTATCAGATACAAATTTTAGGCAGATATGTATAGAAAACAACGTTCTGTTTAACTGATTTTACAAGTAACTACTTTGTTATGGATTTGTAAAATTAATAAATCTAGGAGCTCTCTGTACCCGAACCTGCTCAATTGATCACCCTGGTGGACAGTCCTGTAAAAGGGGACGACAACCAAATTTGTGTGGCCTACAAACACGAGTTTGATTTGGTTAATGAAAAGACCGGCGATACTCTGAGACTACACTGTGTTGAAGGAAACAAGGTTGGTGTATTAGTTCTTTAATGGAGATTTTTAAAAATGGAGATGGAGATTTCCTTGCGAAGGACCTTTTTTTTGTGTGTGTGTGTGAGGGGTGACTGTTATTGCCCTTCCGTTATAAGGAATATATTTTTAAGTAATAATTTACTTTCTACAAATGATGATTAGTTTTCTGGTAAGAGTTTAAGTGTGGTTATTCAAAAATAAAAACCATACTTTATCTTGTGTAACATCTAGTTATTCTAGTAGAATAAAAAGAGGGAATCCTCAATAGCCGCGACACCTGGAATTATTTTAGGTAATATTAGAGTAAATTCATCTGGGAGACTTTTTTTTTTATTAGCTATATTTTTGTGCGCCAGCAATACCAAGCGTGGGGCGCGCGTATACACGATTCAATTTTATTAGTCTTCAGGATCTCTACCAGCCTACTCTCAAATTGAAATTCTTTTTAGGCAGGATTAGAGTAAATTAATCTATGAGACCTTTGACGTGGTCAATATATCAATCGAAAAGGTTTAACCTTTTGAGTCCAAAACTGTAATTAGATCTCAAATCTGTGAAGAGATGGCGGAGCTATGAGCTAAACGTTTGTACTTGAAAAAAAAAAAGAAAGAAATTTAGAGCCGCTCTATGAGCCACTATGCCGCGGCTGACATTTTTTTAAAATATGTAAAAACTACACAAATTTAAATTGTATTTGAACAAAGTTAACTTATAATTGATCAAAAGCTTTATTTTAATAATTTAACCACAGAATTATTAGGTATTGCTTCACAAAGTAACGAAATAAATTATATTAATGATTTTATAACGGAAGTGAAAAAAAAACAAATGCTCATACCTAAAAACAACAATTTTGTTAAAAAGATGCTTCAGAGGCGGAAGGGGCCCGGCATGGCCAGGTGGTTAGGGCGCTCGACTCGCAATCTGAGGGTCGCGGGTTCGAATCCCCGTCACACCAAACATGCTCGCCCTTTCAACCGTGGGGGTGTTATAATGTGACGGTCAATCCCACTATTCGTTGGCAAAAGAGTAAGCCCAAGAGTTGGCGGTGGGTGGTGATGACTAGCTGCCTTCCCTCTAGTCATACACTGCTAAATTAGGGACGGCTAGCGCAGATAGCCCTCGTGTAGCTTTGCGCGAAATTCAAAACAAACAAACAATCAGAGGTGGAGCAGACGGGGCAATGCCCCGTGGCCCCTGGACTGTTTGTTCGAGATTTGAAGACAAATGAAAAGATTTAAAGATAATTTGTTAAATTGAAATGTTCACAAATGGCCTGCCCCCCAGTGGCCCAGCGGGCTATTTGTGTTTGTTTGAAATCAAGCACACAGCTACACAATGGGCTATCTGTGCTCTGCCCACCACGGGTATCGAAACCAG